AGGTAACTGCAAGGACCCTAAGGTGTGGGGGCCTCCAGGGTCACCCCTTTGGTGCTCAGTCAGGGGACTCTGTGGTGCTGGATATTTTTTTTAAGTCACGGTCACGGTCCTCCCGTTCGTCGATTTGCTCGAGCGGGCCCAGTAACGTCTCCATCGTGAGACTCGTTGTTACTGTGTTTGGCATATTGAATATGTCACAGGTAGCTTGCCAGGCTTTAAGTCAGCCTACTTAAAAAGCTGAGCTATCCCCCTGGTCACTAGTTTTGGTTTGGTTTGGTTTGGTTTGGTTTGGTTTGGTTTGGTTTGGTTTGGGGGCCACACCCAGTGGTGTTCAGGGCTAGCTCCTGACTCATGCACAGGAATCATTCCTGGCTGGGCTCAAAGAATCATATGCGGTGCAGGTGTGGCTGGTGGGGAGCTAATTCCCACCCAAAGGACTAGGGTTCCCTTTGTGGATCATACGGAGTGGAGAGGTGAGAGCTGGCAGCTTGGAGAAGGGGGATCTACCACTTCCCTCTTTACCCATCAGGGTCACCTGGGGGGAAAAGCCAGGGGAAATCTAGTGAATCGGGGAAATTTGAGGCAGAACTGGGAAAATTGGAGGCAGGACCTTTGCATGATCTATTTTAGAAGCAGGTCAAAGATGAATAGGTTGTAAATCACAAAGTTCTGACAAGAACAGGGCAAGGAAACTAGTTTGATCAAGTTGCTTGAACAAGAATAGGGTCACAGAAACAATTAGCAAATGCTTATACAGAACTTAAAGCAAATTGTGCTAATCACTGATTGTACCAGTTATTGTATATGTTAGCAACCATGTTAGCAACTATTGTGTATGTTGAATGAAAAAATGTCTCCCTTAGAAGCTTGTAGCTTGTAATTGGCCCTTAAAAGATATTTGTGAACCGCTTTTGAGGCTCAGCCCCTTTTGGTGACAGCCAGGTTGAGTCTGTATGTGTGGATAAAACTACTGTGTGTGTAAATAGAACTTCCTCTTATTTCTCCAGTGCCAAACTGTTTCTTGCTCAAAATTCTGTAAAACTGGGACTGAAGAGTCTGTATTAAGCACCTGTACAGTGAGGCCTTACATGTTGCTGGCCCCTTAGGGGGTTGTCAAATGCACCTGGCTTCTATTTGTTCTGTCTGGCCAGGGGAATTTCCCCTGCCACCCAATTTCTCAGGCATCCCTGAAAAGCCCAGGCTGGAGTGAGACACTAATCTTTGCAGGAAAGGAAAGTCAGGTTCTAAATCTTACCCATGTCTCAGATCTCTACCTAACACCATGTACAAAAGTAAGATCAAAATGGATTAAAGACCCAACATCAGAACGGAATCCATAAGGTACATTGAAGACAAGGTTGGCAAAACCCTCCACGACATTGAAGCTAATGGTATCTTCAAAGATGACATGCCACTGGCCAAGCAAGTGAAAACAGATAGGCAAATGGGACTATCTTAAACTAAGAAGCTTCTGCACCTCAAAAGAAACAATGACCCAAATACAAAGATAGTCTACAGAATGGAAAAGGATATTCACCCAATACCCACCCGACAAGGGGTTGATATCAAGGATATACAAAATACTGGTTGAACTCCACAAGAAGAAAACATTCAACCCTATCAAAAAATGGGGCGACGAAATGAACAGGAACTTTCTCAAAGAAGAAACCCGAATGGCAAAAAGGCACATGAGAAAATGCTCTACATCACTATTCATCAGGGAGATGCAGATCAAAACAACAATGAGATATCATATCATACCACAGAGACTGGCCCACATCCAAAAGACCAAAAGCAACCGGTGTTGGCGCAGATGTGTCAAGAAAGGGACCCTCCTTCGCTGCTGGTGGGAATGCCGACTGGTTCAGCCCTTCTGGAAAACAGTATGGACGATTCTCAGAAAATTAGAAATTGAGCTCCCACTTGACCCAGCAATACCACTCCTGGGAATATATCCCGGAGAGGCAAAAAAGTATAGTCGAAATGACATCTGCACTTCTTATGTTCATTGCTGCACTGTTCACAATAGCCAAAATCTGGGGGGAAAAAACGAATGCCTGAGAACAGATGACTGCTTACAGAAACTTTGGTACATCTACACAATGGAGTACTATGTTGCTGTTAGAAAAGATGTAGTCATGAAATTTACATACAAGTGGTACTACATGGAAAGTATCATGCTAAGTGAAATGATCCAGAAAGAGAGGGACAGACATATAAAGATTGCATTCATCTGGGGAATATAAAGTAACAAAATAGGAGACTAACACCCAAGAATAGCTGAGATAAGTACCAGGAGGTTCACTCTATGGCTTGGAGGTCAGCCGCACACACTAGGGGAAAAGGCAGCTCAGATAGAGAAAGCAGCACCAAGTAAAGGGTGTTGGGAGGATCTTACCAGGATGGGAGATGCATGCTGAAAGTAGACTATAGACCGAACATGATTGCCACTCAGTGCCTCTTTTGCAAACCTTAGCACCCAAAAGGATAGAACAAAAGGGAATGCCCTGCCACAGAGGCAGGTTGGGATGGGGGTGGGTGGGTGGGAGGGAATACCGGGATCATTGGTGGTGGAGAATGGGCACTGGTGGAGGGATGGGTACTCGATCATTGTATAACCCCATGAAACCCAAGCACAACAACTTGTAAGTTTACAACTGTACCTCATGGTGTTTCACTAATAAAAATTTAAATAAATAAATAAATAAATCTTACCCATGTTTACCAAGCTTGCTGACTTTCCTCACAGAAAAGAATTTCAGGAAACAAACAGAAAAGTAAAATAAGATTATCTGGGAAACAAAGGGCAGAGAAAGGGAGATACATGCTCAAGAGGGAACAGAGTAGAAAAGGTAAGTGCACAACTCAAGCAGGCTGGCGGACCATTTCCCAAGAAGGGGACAGTGTGCCCTAAGGTCAAGGCACATCTCAGGCAGATAAGCTCAAAGAGGCCATAGGGTGAGCGAAAGGAAAGACACTCCCCAGGGAGATATGCTGGCAAAATAGCCCTTTGCTTCTACCAAGTTGATTTAAATAGTTTTCCCAAATTCCAACCCCTCCATCCCCTCCTCCCCCCATGCTGGGGTGATTGCAAGGGGATGAGCTTGGAGTTGGTGACGATCTCCTTCTGATATTCTTAGCAAAGACTTTTTCCAGTGGTGGAGCATCCCCTCTCTTGGCATATGGCCTTACTCCAGGCCTGGAGTTCATCATTTTAAAGACTTTTTTCCGTCGAAGATGCATCCTGTTCTCAATTACCTTTATGCCAGGCAATGCAGGTAGGATGTTTGCCTTGCACACAGCCGACACTGCCTACCCGAGTTCAATCCCTCCACCTCTCTCGGAGAGCCCAGCAAGCTACCCAGAGTATCTCACCAGCACGGCAAAACCTGGCAAGCTACCCGTGACTTATTCCATATGTCAAACACAGTAACAAGTCTCAATGGAGACGTTACTGGGCCCGCTCTATAGCAAACTGATGAACAAACGGGAAGACAGTGACAGTGACAGATACATCACCAGCCCAATTCTCTACCTGCAACACACCTATGTGTAGCTGTATACTTAATATTACCCAGAAAATCAAACAACGGGCACCATGTGATACTATTTGTAATTTCTTGGAAGATCTGACAGTGCTGAACACATTGAGGTGCTCAACAAATCTGTTATTTAATAAGAAGCAATTTTGATGTCATGGAAGATCTAGCTTAGCAGTGCAATTCTCCGTAAAGCTATGGTTGAAGCTTCCTACCCGGCTGAAGTGTTTCAAGGGGCTGGTGCGCGTGCATGCGTGCACATGTGCGTGCAGGATCTGGCTCCGCACATGGTTTGGTGAGCATTAGGAGGGGGTCACACCCACCACCGAACCCTGAGACTAGCCCCACGGAGGGTGTGTTCCCCTCCCTCCAGAGAAACAGGTCCTCCTGAGCTTCCGTTTTCTGGCGGCAGAGAATGTTTTCAGTGTATTATAGAATGTAACGGATCAACATCTTTAGACATACTTTGCCAGGGGGATGTCATTTATGGATTTTTTTGTTTTTCACTCCTAGTACTTGAGAAAGAGTAGGATGTGAGCTGCAGTGAACATCATTGTATAACTGAAACCCAAGCACGAAAATTTGTTTTTTTTTAATTTTTTAAAAATTTTTATTAGTGAAACACCATGAGGTACAGTTATAGACTTATAAATTTCTGTGCTTGGGTTTCAGTTATACAATGATCAAGTACCCATCCCTCCACCAGCGCCCATCCTCCACCACCAACGCGGGTCCCAGCATCCCTCCTATCCCCCCATCCCCCAATCCCATCTCGCCTCTGTGGCAGGGCATTCCCCCTTGTTCTCTCTCTCTTCTTTTGGGTCCTGTGTTTTGCAAGAGAGGCATTGAGTGGCAATCATGTTTGGTCTATAGACTACTTTTAGCAAGGCACGAAAATTTATAAGTCTACAACTGTACCTCATGGTGTTTCACTAATAAAAATTAAAAAAAAAAAAGATATGTTTCTAGAACCTTTCACACTACATGCTACCAACAACAATAGCTAACCTATCCTCCACAGGCGAGTAGCCCGTTACAAACTCTCCGCCCAGGAAGCACTCAGCTTTGTTACTGGGGCGGGACAAAGCCGTCCCTCTCAACCACACTCCCTGCAAAATTCTACGGGCGCAGAGGTTTGGGGGCAGGACGGCAGGAGGGTGCCAGCGGCCACCTTTCAGCAGGCTGGCCTCCGCCCACGTGGCGGCTGCGGCCCGCAGCGGCCATCTTTGTGGGGTCAACCCTTGAGCACGCGGTGACGGCCGACGGCCATCTTTGTGAGGGGCGGTCCCCGCCCAGGTGGTGAAGGCCCGCGCCATCTTTGTGCGGGTCAACCCCGGAGCACGTGACGGCTGGCGGCCATCTTTGTGCGGGGCGGCCTCCGCCCACGTGGTCCCGGGCCGCCATCTTTGTGCGGGGCTGCGCTTCCGCCGGCGCGGGCGCCGCCACGGGGGTCCGTGCGGGTCGGCCGGAGATGGAGCGGCTGGCGCGCGGGCCGCTCGGGCTGTGGCTGCTGCTGCTGCTGCTTCTCCTCCCCCCAGTACCTGGCCGCCAGCAGGAGTCAGGTGGGCTGGGCCAGGGCGGAGCCTGCGGCTCGGGCTCGGGTGCCAGCGCGCTCTTTTGCGCGGCGGCGCGGGGCGGCTGCTGCCGTGTCCGCAGCATCTCAGAGCGGGTCGGGGGCCGGGCCGGGGGCGCGGGCGCGGGTGCGGGTGCGTGGCGCCGTCTCTCCGGCCCTGGGGCCCTGGGAAGGGACCTCTCCTCGGGATTCTGATAGCAGCAGACTTGAGAAAACCTGCACACTGTGTGCGTGCATGAGGACGGGACGCGCGCACACACACACACACACAGAGCACGTACTCTGCTCTTACGCACAGTTTCCAGCGTGTACTCTGCTTTTAAGCACACCCACAGGGAGACTGTGTGGGGGCGGGGAGGATAAAGGGAGGAGGAGGAGGGAGAGGGAGCAAGGAATCAAGCAGATACTCTGCTCTTTTTTTTTTATTAAAATTTTTTAATACTGAGACATCATGAGGTACAGTTGCAGACTTACACATTTTTGTGCTTGGTTTTCAATTATACAATGATCAAATACCATCCCTCCACCAGTGCTCACTTCCCACCCCCACGGATCCCAGTATCCCTCCCACCCCCCATCCCCCCATCCCACCCTGCCTCTGTGGCAGGGCATTCCCCTCTGTTCTCTCCTTTTGGGTGTTGTGGTTTGCAAAAGAAACATTGATATTCTCTACATAGTTTCCTGCATATTCGATATGCCAGACACAGTAACAACAAAGTCTCCAATGCAGACGTTACTGGGCCCACTCGAGCAAATCGATGATCAACGGGAGGGCCTTTACTTTACTTACTTACTCGGCTCTGAAGCTTGTGCGTATGTGCACACACAGAGAGAGACGGAGGGAAGGAGTCAAGCATATACTCTGATACTCTGTTCGTTTGCGCAGAGAGTTTCTACCATGTACTCTGCTCTTTTGGGCGCGGGTGTGGGCACACAAAGAGGCTTTCCAGAAGAAATACAGAGAGGTTAAAGTTTGCAGCTTCCCCCCACCATCAGTCCTCTTGATGACACTGAGTTTGATGAATAAAGGCACACAACCTTCCTGGCTCTTTGTACCAGTGGGATGAAAAGGGGTTGGTGGAAGTTTGGGTCTTTGGCTGCTTCTGCTTCCCTGCTGCTAGCAAATTAAGAGTGCTCAGGGTATTTCCTCAACAAACCTCACTCACTTCATTTTTTTAAGGTTCAAAGTGGAAAGTGTTTATTGACCAAATTAACAGATCTTTGGAGAATTATGAACCATGTTCAAGTCAGAACTGCAGCTGTCACCTTGGGTGAGTCTTTCCCTGGATGTGTCTTGGAGAGGTGCCCTGAGAGAATTCGATCGCAGTGGTCCAGGGGCCCAGCACAGTTTGAGATACAACCGTGTGCCGGGGTGTGTTCCTTGGGGTTTTTTCTAGGCACTAACAAGCCCCAGGGCTCAAGAGACGGGGATGGTCTCAGCACCAGCTCAGCACTGCTCCCCTATTCCCCCCACCCCGGAAGCTGGAGGTCAAGGTTTTTTGCTTTTTGTTTTGTTTTTGGGCCACACCAGGAAGTGCTCAGGCCTTATTCCTGGCTTTGTGCTTAGGAAGTCAGGTCTGGTGGGGCTTGGGGACCATATGGACGTCTAAGGGATCGAACCCTCGTCTGCTAGACACAACGCAAACTCACTATCTGCTATACTCTCTCTCCGGCCCCAAGGCCTGAGTCTCATTCGCTCTTGTATCCCTGCTGTATGAACATACTAATAAATGCATCTGATCTTACAGTTTCTGGCCTTTTGCTTTGATTCTTTTGGGGTCACATCTGGCTGTGCTTAGGGCTTACTCATGGCTCTGTGCTCAGGGATCATTCCTGGTGGGCATGGGGGGCTCATATAGGGTCTTGGGGACTAACCCTGGTCGGCTGCGTGCTGGGCAAATGTCTAACCTGCTGTACTATTGCTCTCCCTCTTCTTGTTTTTCAAGCCTGCCAGTTGGGGCAGGAGTGAACAGAGGCTTGTTAGAAGGCAGAGTGGCATGGAGAGGGGGAGAACCCCTCACTCCGCACCACGCCAGCCTGCCGGAGTCTCACGAGTAATCTTATGGCAAGACACTCAACTTTTCTTTTGCTTTTGGGGTCACACCCAGCAAGGCTCAGGGGTTACTCCTGGCTCTGTGCTCAGGTGCACCTAGCAGCACTTGAGAACCAAACGGGATACCGGCGATTGAACCCACATTGGCCGTGTGCAAGGCAAGCGTCCTACCCACTGTACTATCACTCTGGCCCTGACACTGAACTTCTCAGGGTCACAGATTCCTCATCAGCTAAATCGCAGGGTCCTTTCAGCTTTCCTCTGTTTCTCTGTGGTGCTTAAAATAATTCACCAACACTCGTGCTGTTTACTGAAGACCTACTTTGTACTGAACTTTAAGTCGTGTAAATTTTGCCAACTATTGTCAGGGGCTGATAGTGGGTGCCTAGCTTGCGTTTCACAACTATTGTGAAATGGGTTCCAATAAAGAACTGGCAGACAGCAGGGAACCTTCTGTGGGTCAGAGAAGGGGAGCTCGGGCACTGCCAGGATGGCAGCACCTGGGGACAGGAGGCGAGCGGGCAGTGGTCAGGATCCAGATGGAGGCAGGAAGAAAAGCGACTTCCTTTGTCCGTTTTTAGCATTGTTGATGTTTCATTTGGCCGCCCTTGCTCCCGGGAGGAAGCTCGTAAGTGTCCAATCCTGTCTTTGTGCTACCACCGAGACGTCTGAGATAAACCCTAAACCCTCAGCTGGGAAATGAATAGGTGGCTGGGACTGCTTGCTTGGCCTGTTTGCCTTCACGGAGCTCGTTCTTTCCCAGGGTCATGGAAGAGGATCTGGCTCCTTTCCGAGGAGGCGTCTCCAGGAAGATGATGATGGAGGTGGTGAGGCGCAAGCTGGGCACCCACTATCAGGTCATTCAGAACAGATTGTACCGAGAGAAGGACTGCATGTTCCCCTCAAGGTAAGGGGTGGAGCGGCCGTATCTGCTGCCCTGACTCGATACTGCCTTTCACAGAGAGGGCAGCCAGAAGCACTGGTAGGCATAGCTCCTCTATTCTTGTGCTCGGGGGTTTGCAGGGGAGTTGATGGTGCCCAGAACTTACTCCTGACCCTGTGCTCGGGTGTCCTCCTAGTGGTGCTCAAAGGACCACATATGTGGTGCTGAGGCTTGAACCCGGGTTGACTACAGGCAAGGCCAGCGCTCCTCGCCTCATCCATAGCTCCTGTTACAAGCAGCTGAGGAATAGTAACAGGCTCTTCTTGCCTCAAAGTTGATTCTTCTCTTTTTCTTTTTCTTTACTCTGCACGTTACTGGAGATCAAATCCAGAGTCTTAACACGTGAAGGTAAGGACCCTACCACTGAGGTCCTTTCTGATCCTTATTAGTGTCGATTTCTTGATCGTCACTACTCAGCCTGGGAGTATGGGCAGTTTGGTATCATGGCTCTCTGGGATACACCCAGGGATGCTTTGGGGAGCATGTGTGGCCAAATCCAAAACTGTGGACCTCACACATGCCAGGCAGGTGTTCTACCACTTGAGCCATCTCCCCATCCTCCTGAGAATTGCTCTTACAAATACTTCTTTTACTTGTGCCCAGCCTGTCTCCTCTCTCTCCGTGAGACTTGGGCACAGACTGGTTATTCTATCTATGACTTTCTCACTTGGCTGTGGTAGGGCTCAGACTAATAAAACCTAGCAGGAGTAAACCGGGCTGTAAAGAAAATTAAAGCATTGATTCAGTGTCTGACCTAGGCCAAGTACTGTTCCAGAACTCCCTGGGACCCAAGCTCTGAGGCCGCCCTCTGCAGTTCTGTGCGAGAGCTGAGGGACCCACAGCGGCCGAGGGCTGAGGGCTGGGGTCTGATATGGACATTCGCAAACTCTCCCTGGAAGCCAGGCTTTATATCCTACAAATGAAAAATCTCCCTTTTAGGAGTTTAATTTTTTTCCTTTTTTTTTTTTTTTAATTTTTATTAGTGAGACACCATGAGGTATAGCTATAGACTTACAAATTTTGTGCTTGGGTTTCAGTTATACAATGATCAAATACCCATCCCTCCACCGGTACCCTTTTTTTCCTTTTTTATAGCCTAATCTTTATAGATTACAGTGTACAGAGACAGCATAATTGTCTCTTTTCATAAGATCTTATTTCTAAACAGTTTGTACTGGGGGCCAGAGGAGTAGTATAGCAGGTAGGGTACTTGCCTTGCACACCGCTGACCTGGTTGTTTTCATCCCCAGCAGCACAGGTGGTCCCCGAAGCCCCACTAGGAGTAATCCCTGAGCTCTGCTAGGTGTGGTTCCCCTCCCTTCCGCCCACCCCCCAGATAAAGCACTATTATTTGGATCAGCTAAGAAAGATCGCGTCTACAATATTAGAGAGCGCAAAAGGCCCTACAGAAGCTATTTTTAGGTGACCTTGTAAGAGGCTGAAGGCTGTCTCATATGGTGGGTTGCGGTACTGGGCATGGAAGCAGGCCTAGGCAGAGAGAGAATACAGTTAGTGGGCAGGGCACTTTCTTCGCGTGAAGCCAACTCAGCTTCAATCCCATCCACCACATCTGGTCCCCCAATCCTGCCAGGAGTCATCCCTAGTGCAGAGCCAGGAGTAAGTCCTGAGCACTGCTGGGTGTGCCTCCCCTTGCAATCCCCCCATCCCCTGCAGAAAGAATCCAGGATTTCATCCATACAGTGTGAGCGCTCTACCACTGAGCTATTTACTGAGCCCCTGTCTAGTTGTACTGGAAAGCTGTGAATGGGACCAGGGACATGGCTTAGGGGTAAGGCTCCTGCCTTTCCTACATGAGGCCTGGGTTCCATCCCCAGCCCCCCGAAAAATAAAGAAATGAAAAGGGAAAGAGACCTGCCTTGCCTTAGAGCAGGGACTACTCTTGTGAATTTGTGCTGTGTTTGGTTGGTAGGTGTAGTGGTGTTGAACACTTTATTTTGGAAGTTATCGGAGACCTCCCTGACATGGAAATGGTCATCAATGTGCGGGATTACCCTCAGGTGCCCAAGTGGATGGAGCCTGCCATTCCAGTCTTCTCGTTCAGCAAGGTGAGTGGACTAAGTGGGGCCGGGGCCGGGGGGGGGGCTAGGAGGGGAAGGGGGTCTGAAAGGTCCTGGTAAGGATGAAGCCTTAGATCAGGAAATGCTTTTGTGTCCTGTTAACTTCACAGTGCTTGAGCAGAACACAGAGGAGATGAGATTGAGGATTTGTGAATAATGCAACCTGGCTTACTAAAGGATCTGTAGGTGTAGGCATGGAGGTTAGGGAATGAGAAGTGTAAGGGACCCTTGGGACATTAGTGGTGGGGTGTAAAGGTCCTTCAGAGCTTGGGAGTGAATGGACTTAGATAAGGGACTCACGGAACACTTTCATTCAAAAATTGAGCTGCAGTGTGTATACTGCGATTATATTGGCTGTCCTCTGTCATATTTATCACTGCTTAGACCAGGTGGCTCACAGCAGAACTAGTCTTTGGGTTGAGCTGTGAAGGGATGGGAGTACCAGGTCTCACTCACTTACGGGATAGGAAACTTTGGGAGAGTTACTGGTGCCCGCTCAAGCAAATGATAAACAACGGGAGGACAGTGACAGTGATCGTATCTTGTGAGTGCTCAGATTCTTGCCAATAGTAAGAATGGGCTGGGCCGAGCCTACGTTCTCTAGTGACTAGGTTTGAAAGCATTTGATGGGTAGAAGATAGCAGACGGGAGAACGGATTTAGGAAAACCCTCTGGATTTAGGAAAAGGAGCACCGTTTCCTTGATTGCTCCAAAGCAGAGGAACTTTGGCCCTACTGTTTCTATGGCACAGTTCGCCTTCTCTCTAGCCTGGTTAATTTCCTGTGTGGCAAATGAGCCACATTTGCGTTGCATTTCTCATGGTTTAGCCTCAGTTCTCAAAGTGCTTGGTCCCGTTTGTCATGACATGTTCCCAGAAGAATAGATCGAGGCTCCCATGTAAGTCAATAAGAATTTTGTATTTATCTGTTTTTTGTGAATAATAAAATATGACAATGTAACATATTAACATACCTTTTTTTTTAATCATTGAGACTTCATTGAGACTTCATTTTCAGGGGAGAGATTATAATGTGTTACATCTATAGTTCATTATTTCTGTTGAGTATCTCTTTTGCTGACGTGCTTGATGACTCACATATCGTTTTCTCTTGACTGATTTAGGACAGCTTTTTTTTTTTCTGTATTTGAGGGAATTGCAGACAAAAGAAACAGCTAAAAGATAAAACAGAATTAGAGATCTGTCTATGACCAAGGGTTTAATAGAAATCACCACAGAAAGAAGTAAATGACTTTACACTTTTCAAGACATGGGTAATCACTTGTCCCTGTGGCACCCTTTGGCAGTGCATTAACAGAGAATATATTGATCTGTCAATGTGAGCTCAATAGTATCTAGTGCCTGTTGATTACTTATCCAGCTTTTTACATGTAATAACTATTAAATATGCCTACTATGTGGATAGTATTACTGATAAGGGATAGAGACTACTATTGAGGCATAGGAAGATTGTGTAACTTAGCCTGGGTTGGGAAGAGAAGTCAGTATTCAGTCACAGGTGGTCTGTTTCAAAGACCCTGTCTCTTAATCATTGCACCGGATTTCTTAATTCTTGTTCTCAAAAGAGATCCATTTATGACATGACTAAGAGCTGAGTAAGCCATATCAGTTCCAAGTGTAACTAGAGTTTTAAGATGAGAAAGCTGTGTGATAATTCAGAATTGGATATCGATATTTTTAATTTCATTTATTTACTTTGGTTTTGGGGCTACTCCTGGTGGTGTGCAGGGATTTTTCCTGGCTCTGTGCTCAGGGACACTCAGGTGATGATCAGGGGACCACATGGGGTCCTGGGGATCAAACCTGGGTCAGTGGCTTGCAAGGCAAGCACCATAGCCACTGGACTATCGGTCTGCCCCCTGTATCTTTAGTTTTTAAACCAAAAACTTAGCCTAACTGTGTCCTTGAGAGAAAGAGAATTTGGGGGAAATGAAAAAGTTGGCCTTAAGTGGGATTTAAAAATCTGGTATACAGTGAGCCCTTGAAATCATAAGCCGTAGAATTTTTTTTTTTTTTTTGCTTTTTGGGTCACACCCGGCGATGCTCAGGAGTTACTCCTGGCTCATGCACTCAGGAATTGCTCCTGGCGGTGCTGGGGGGACCATATGGGATGCTGGGAATCGAACCTGGATCGGCCATGTTGGCTGCGTGCAAGGCAAACGCCCTGCCCGCTGTGCTATCGCTCCAGCCCCAAGCCGTAGAAATTTTTGCTTTTTACTGTCTGGAGTGCAGGCTTGGCAGACCAGGGAGAAGCCATCATTGATAATATAATACCAAGACTCAGTTCAGATCCTGTGCCGTGAATGCAGTTTGTCCCTGTCGCTGCACCCCGACACTAAACACCCTTCTTGTTTCCCTTGAAGACCTCTGAGTACCACGACATCATGTACCCTGCTTGGACGTTCTGGGAAGGGGGCCCTGCAGTCTGGCCGATTTACCCGACAGGCCTTGGACGGTGGGATCTCTTCAGGGAAGACCTCACAAGGTAGGTCGTTTAAAAAGGGACATTTGAGGTGTGCCTTTCACAGGTCTTGTTGAAAGAAGAGTGAGGTGATTAGTTTAAAATGACTAACCCTGAGAGCTTGGGAGACAAGCTCAAAGGAGCACAGGCTGTGCAGAGAGGAGCCTCTCTGAGGCTGGTAGGGTTTCAACATCTTGAGACGTGCACCTGGAGTAGCTCCCAAGCATTTCCAAGAATGGCCAAGCAAACAAGAAAAGAAACAAAAAAAAGATTAATTTTTAACTTAAGAATCGAAGACAAAGGCAGGAGAGATAGCTCAGTAAACTGGAGTGTGTGCTTTTATGCAGTAAACCAGGTTTGACCCCTTGTCCCACTGCATGGACTCCAGAGCAGTGAGCTGAGAGTAGCACCCAGCCAGCATTGGGTGTGCCCCCCAAACACCGCCAATCCACCAGCCAACAAGTCTGTAGTAGGAAATGCCTCAGGATGGGTCACTCGGGCAGTCAGAATTCAAGGATGGCAAAAGATCTTTTAGAAACAGTGATGATCAGGGGCTGGAGGGATAGCACAGCGGGTAGAATAAGTGAAATAACTCAGAGAAAGATCACTTAATCACTTAATCACTTAACTTCCCGTTAGTCGTCGAGTTGCTCGAGCGGGCGCCAGTAACGTCTCCATTTGTCCCTGTCGCGTGCTAGTGTAGCCCAATGGCATCTGTTCGCTCCGGGAACATGAAGGGCCTCAAACCGATCGTTCATGATCTTGACGAAGAAGTCTGACCATCTGGTAGGTGGGCGGCCACGCGGTCTCTTGACATCCCGTGGAATCCAATCAGTAACAGCTCTAGTCCAACGGTCGTCTTTAAATCTCATTACGTGACCAGCCCATCTGATTTTCGACACCTTGGCATATGAGACAGCGTCCCTGATCCTTGATCGTCGACGGATGTCAGAACTCCGGATTCGTTCTCTCATTTGAGTGAAACGTGATATTCCAAGCATAGCTCTTTCTATTCTTCTTTGGGAGACCTGAATAGCGTTCTCATCTTGTTTGCGTAGGGCCCAGGTCTCTGAGGCATATGTTAATGCAGGAAGAACAGTGGAATCAAAGAGATGTGCCCGGAGCCGGAGGTTCTTCGTCTTCTTAGCTATTTCTTCGACGTTCTTGAAGGCGTTCCAAGCCGCTCTCTTCCTCCTGCGCAGCTCGGGTGCCAGGTCATTTGTCATGTTGACCTCTCGACCTAGGTAGACATAGCTGTTGCATTCGGAGATGGTCGTTCCATTGAGAGCGAATGGGGCGTCAGGAACAAGGCTGTTTCTCATAAACATTGTCTTCGTAAGATTCAGCTGTAGTCCTACCTTTCCACACTCAACGGTCAAAGTCGGCCAGCATTTGTGCCGCTTGGCTGATGTTTGGTGTTATTAAAACAATGTCATCAGCAAAGCGGAGGTGGTGTAATTGCCGACCATCTATCTTCACTCCCATTCCTTCCCATTCCAGTCGTCGCATGATGTTCTCGAGGGTGGCACTGAAGAGTTTCGGTGTAATGGTATCACCCTGCCGCACCCCTCTCTTGACATCAACGATCACTTCTTTGTAGAATGGTGAGATCCTGGTAGTGAATCCACAATACAGCTCACGGAGGATCCTGATGTATTGGGCTTGAATGCCCTGATTGGCTAGGGCTTCAATGACCGCTTCCATCTCAACAGAATCAAAGGCCTTCTTTAAATCAATGAACGTTAAGCGCGGCAGCTCCGGCCGAGACCCACGCACAACTGAAGACCCACAGAACAAGATAAGCGGAACTCTCTGAGACCTTGGACTCCAGGCTCAGCGGACCCAGGGACAGAGCTTCTCTGCTTGCTCCCACCACCACAGGTGACAAAGGGATTCTAATCAGGAGCCCCACCCTACCCTGCCCTGTCTGCTTCCATCAACCACCCAGGGATCGAATTGTGCACAGGAGACCCACCCTACCCAGATAAATACCCCACTGGCAGACTTCCACTCTCGACACTACTTCCACTACCCAGCCGTTGCCACACTCCAGGACGCTTTCCGGACCACGTGGCCGCAAGCGGCCGCGCGACACATCATAAGACACTAAATACCCATCTTCTGGAATTGTCGTACCATATTTGATAGGGTTCAAATATGGTAACACCTACAAGGGTGATTAGAGGTCACCCCAAAAGCCTCTATCCCTCTCGGAAAGACTGGCAAGCTACCGAGAATATTCTGCCCGCACGGAAGAGCCTGGCAAGCTATCCGCTGTGTATTCGATATGCCAAAACCAGTAACTACAACTGGTCTCATTCACCTGACCCTGAAGGCTTCACCGACATGGCAGCACTGAGAAGGATGAGAAAGGAGAGGCCGACAAAATCTCAAGGCCGACCTAGGCTGCCACAACGAAGGAAGACAAAAATGATCGTCTGTACTTTCAATGCACGTACGCTAGCATCAGATGCATCCATCGAGGACCTGATGGTACAAGCGTGAATGATCAAGTACGACATCATTGGTCTGACCGAGACAAGAAGGCACGAATCTCACCATGCCGTTTTCGACACTGGAGAAGAATTGTTCCTCGGAACATGCGATAAAAGAGGTGTTGGAGGCGTCGGTGTCCTTGTCAACACAAACTTGGCCAAGAGCATTGATTCATTCGAATGCCTAACAACCCAAATCGGACGTTTACATTTGAATAGATGTGGCTCACTGCCTGCAGTTTCTATCTTCGTTGTCTACACACCAACATCTCATTATGATGAAAGAGAAATCGAGAAGTTCTACATGGAGCTAGAGAAGTTCTATAAAGAAGACCACACCTTCTACAAGATCATTGTGGGTGATTTTAATGCCAAGATAGGACCGAGAAGATCAGCTGAAGAACTTCACATCGGGACCCATGGCCTAGAATGGAACGAACAGGGTGAGAGACTGTCAGAGTTCATCATGTCGACCAAGACCATCCATGGTAACTCACAGTTCCAGAAGGCAGAATCTAAACGATGGACATGGGAGTCTCCCGGTGGACGATTCCACAACGAAATAGACCACATCATATTCAATCGACGGTTTTGCCTGACTGATGTCGCTGTTGTCCCAAAATTTCGAATGGGATCGGACCACCGTCTCCTTCGTGCAAAATTCTACTTCACAGAGCGGGGTGAAAGGGCTGCAAAGTTCAAAAAGAGAATTCCCAGAATGACCACCAACTGGGAACTCTTTGGTACTATTGCGGCAACATGGGAAGATGCCATTGTTGACAACATTGACGAGGAATACGATCGACTGGTTCAGCATCTCCATGAATGTGCGAGGAACGCCAAGAGAGAGATAGCCACAAAAAGTCGCCTATCTTCGAAAACTCTTGAGCTAATTCGCCAGCGTGGTTTGGCGCATGCCTCAGGCAACCGCAAGCTAACGTCCGAGCTTGCAAAGCAGTGCAGAGATGCGATCAAGGAAGACCTCAAAGAGAGAAGAGCAGAAGTACTGGTAGATGCGGCAGAAGCCGGGAAAAGTATTCAGAGAAAGATAAATTCCATAAAAATTCATTTATATGTGGAATCTTTGAAAAAGAGTGAAAATAAAAACCAATACAATCAGGGCCAGCATGATAGTACAGAAGGTAGGACATTTGCCTTGCATATGACTGACCTGGATTCAATTTCTGGCACCACTCATGGAACCCCGAGTCCTGCCTGGAGTGATCCCCAAACACAGAACAATGAGTACATCCTGAAAACTATCAAGATGGGCAAAAGGAATATATCAAAAACACAGGTACATTGGGGCTAATAGCACAGCGGGTAGGGCATTTGCCTTGCACGCGGCCAACCCGGGTTCGATTCCCAGCATCCCATATGGTCCCTGAGCACCACCAGGAGTAACTCCTGAGTGCAGAGCCAGGAGTAAACCCTAAGCATCGCTGGGTGTGACCCAAAAAGCAAAAAAAAAGAAAGAAAGAAACAGTGATGATCAGTGATTTTATTTTACAAACTCATCCTAGGCCTTCTCTCGGGAGTTGAGAAAGCACTCATTTCATTCGACTTTATTTCTTACAAGTAACTCTCCCCCATACTGTGTGGCTTGTCTCTGAGGAAACACACAGATGCAGGCCGGAGCAGTGTTCCAGTGGGTAGAGTCGCCTCTCCTGGGCCAACCCGGGTTCGATCCCAGGCTTCCTTTATTGTCCCCCGAGCACTGCCAGGAGTAATCCCTGAGAATAGAGCCAGTAGGAACGCCTGAACAACGCCTGAACACCACTAGTTGTGACCCAAAAGTTATGAAAAAAAAAGGAAAAAGAAACAGACAGAGTGTATGCTCAGGTGCTCTCGTCTTCTGGGTAAGAAACCAAACATGAGGATTATCCACTAGGGTCAATTTGGAAATTACTCGGTGTGTTTATTTTATTTTATTAAAAAGATTTTTTTTTGAATCAGTTCTTTTATTGAGGGAGAGAAGTTACTCCAGTGTTCCCTGGTGGAGGGAAAGAGAGGAGGTGGGAAGTTAAGTCTGCTGGCAGAGGAGAGAACTAAAGGCTCTGCCAATATTGTCAGGATATAGATTTTTCTGGAGCTTTCCATGGCTTGTGCCTACAGATGAGTAAAGGGTTCTGGAGACCAAATGAGCTAGGAGTCTTTCAGCTGTCAACCGAGAAGCCTTAGGTCTTTTCTCAGCCCAGGCATCCAGCGTAAATACAACTTGTTTTTCAGAATCCTCTGGAGAAAGAAATCGTCTCTTTTGCAGGCATCGCCACGCTCCCTGCCCTTCGTCCTCTTTTCCATGTGCTCTTTCTTCAAGCATTTTCTCGTCTCTCAGTCAAGATCATTGCAGTGACCAAAAATTTCAGAAAGCTGTGATTTTGTGACATTCCTTAAGCCGGTTGATCAAGATCTTACACCCTTCCGTGTGCAAGTGTGGCGCCAAGTCGGGATGCATCGTTAGGTGGAGGTGACCACAGCCAGACGGCCGCCCCTGCAGCGGGGCTGGGGCGCTCGGTCTAAAAGACTTTA